GATCTATATAAAACTGTATCAGTGATGTACTAAGTATTAATTGTTTATTTAATACAATTAATACTGCTACTCATTTTGATTTCCGAACTCGTACGTCGTACTTATCAAACCCGATATTGATAACTGATTCTATTCATTTAATTGACTCGGGTATTAACCTATCAGTAGAGACATACGTGATCGTTAAGGTACTTACATTACAGTCAGAAGCGGGTTCTAGTATCTCAAAGAGTTTCAATCGTACAATATGGGACTATAAAAGAGAGGATTATAATTAAATGAAACAGATGGTTTTAGAATTCAATTGAAATAAATTGCTTAGTATATGTAAGAGAATGATAATCCCTTTCTTCATGAATAAGTACGAGCGTTAGCGAGTACTTATCATGAAGTAAGGGATTATCATTCTCTTACAAACTTAGAATATTGTAAAGTGCTCAAGGCTCAAATGATCTATTCAAGAATTAGTTTCATTGTCAGTGCAATGTTTATAACTGATGCATGACTTCCTTTTTCGGCATGTCATTTATGGATAAGTTTTAGTGATGTGAGGACTTTCTTATCATTTGGGAAATATTAAAAAAAAAAATGCGTAATAGATATTAGGTGACACACAGTAGAAAGAAAAGGTATGAATTGTATGTTTCCTGATTGTGAGTATGAATGTAAATCATGTAATATTTTAGTGAGGAATTATCCTGTTTTATTTACAGTTTAAATCAATTAATACATAAGAGTTACAACAAAATTTTATTTCACAGCCAATAATTTGGTCCGGCTTTTTACATCAAATACTGTTTCATTATGTCAGGGAAATGCTCAAAAATAATGCCCTTAAAAGTTTTTAATATGTTTAAAATTTAATTCCTGTTTTTTATCGGAATAATTGTATTGGAAATAACTATTCTCCCCAATCTCTGATCAAGTAATTAAAGTTTTGGAAAGCTAAAGATTTAGGTTATTTTTTTATCTGAAAGATTTTTTTTATTTTTTTTTTGGATTGCTTTGGTAATGTTTAATTTTATAGTAATTTGAAGTTATTAATATTTTCATAATAAAATTCACGGTACCAATTTTACTGCACCAGTAAACTTCAACTTATTTTGAGATTTTTGTTTGTTTCACAATTCAACTTTTAGTCAGTTTCAATCACTTTGTGATAAAACCTTTCAATCTGATAAATGTGCTTCGGGGCAGTTGTAACTCGTTTATAGAAACTCTTTGTTTTGAACTGTAAATAGACCCAAATAATAGGATAATCCCTTTCTAAGAACATGATTTACATTCATTCTTCACAATTAAGAGGCATCCAATTCTACAATTTCATTGGTCGAGAGTACTTTGCTATATTCTAAATAATGATGTTAACGTCCATGAATTAGGCAATATCTTTACGCATGAATTTTTAAAAGAAATTGAATTTTGCATTCAAAAAAAGAATCTAATTATTCAATCTGATGATAAAATATGGTAGAACTCAAACCAGCGTCAAGAAATAAGAAAACGAGACATATTTCCAAAAATGAAAAAGAAAAAAAGAAAAGCATTACATACGAAAGGAAATTTTAAAACTATAGAAATCGAGTAAATAATTTTATGAAAAAAATTAAACAAAACTTTTTTGAAAATATCAATGAAAACTTAAATGAACTTAAGCAAACAAATAGTAGAGTATATTGGAAAACTATAAACTCTGTATTTAATGAAATCGGATCTATTAATGATATTCCGCTGTTGCAAAACTCAAGTTATAATTTTGAACTTTTTTATGAAGCAAAAGAAAAAGTTGATATTCTAAATAAATATTTTTGTTTTAAAGCTAGCTTAGATGATGAAAACAAAAACTTGCCCGACTTCGAAGATAGAGTTTATGACATTGTTTCGGAAATTACTGTGAATGAAGACGAACTTAAAGATATTATTTCTTCTTTAGATCCATATAGAACAGTTTGACCAGACAAAATCAGTAATAGAATGCTGATAACAGTGAAAAGGGAAATTATACTTCCTTTACGTATTTTGTTTAACAAATCATTCTCTCTAAAATATTTCCTAAAGATTGGAAATTGGCATATGTTATTCCTCGGTTGTTAATAATTGTTAGTACTAGAAAAAATAATATTTAAACATGTTTTGAACAAAGTAGAGGCGAAAGATACCAAAGTGATATTCAAATAATAAGTCGAAAATAAACTGATAACGCCATGGCAAAAAAAGAAAAAGACCAAACGACAAACAACAGTACACAAAACACAACATAGAAAACTAAAGACTGAGCAACACGAATCCCACCAAAATCATGGGTAGATCTCAGGTGCTCCGGAGAAGGGTAAACATATCCTGCTCCACATGTGGTACCCGTCGTATTACTTATGTAAGTAAAAACCCGGTGATAAGTCTAATTCGGTGGTCACATTCTGGGACGACATTGTGGTTATGACGATTGGAACATATCCGTCGTCATCTGTGAAACAGATCAATCATGTAGTTTCTAATACACTTTTGTTCAGTCTGGTTTCATACCCACCTGCTCTAGTTTTCATCAACTTATTGAGATGTACCATTCTATCTTGTATGCTTTAGACAATAAATGTTATACAAGTCTAACATTTGCTGATGTAAACAAGGCATTCGACCGAATCTTGATAAGGGGCTTCTTCTTTTAGAAAGATATGGTATCAAAGGCAAGCTGTTATTATGGCTTGAAAGCTACTTAACTAATAGAATCAGAGAGTGGTTTTAAAAGAGGCGACTTCAGAATTAAGTAATCTTATAGCTGGTGTTCCTCAAAGGGTCGATACTGGGTCCCCTTTTATTTCTTATCTTCATAAATGACATTGCAGATGATATGATTGGATTAACAAGAACGATTGCAGACGATACATCTATTGGACATTCTGCTCCAAATGAAATTACCCTTCAATCCTTGATAAATATCGATGTACAACTTATTAATTCCTGTGCAAACGATTGGCTAGTTAAATTCAATAAAAAAAAAAACTTAAATTATGTAATTCAGTATCAAAAATTCAAAAAATAACTTGATTTTTTATTTTGGTGGAGTTCAGGTAGATACGCTTACTAGTCACAAACATTTTGGTTTATTTTTTTAGTTTTGACTGCTAGTGGACTGAGCATTAAGATAACTTATAAGAAAAGGTATTAAACAATTAAAAAGGGACGAAAGATACCAGAGGGACAGTCAAACTCATAGATCGAAAACAAACTGACAACGTCATGGCCAAAAATAAAACGACAAACAGACAAATAATAGTACAGAGGACACAACATAGAAAACTAAAGACTAAGCAACACGAACCCCACCAAAAATGTCGTTAGACGGGTGACATTCCGCTTAAAAAGGGAATATTCAGAAAAAAAATTGTTGAACTTTTATAAGGCCAGTTCTTGAATATTCTTCTGAAGTTTGGGATAAGTGCGGAAAATGGAATTCTTAAATATTAGAAAATTTATAGCTTGAAGCAACACGTATTGTCACTAGTCTAACAAGCTATGCTAGCACTCAATCACTCTATTTAGAAACAAGATAGGAAACGTGAAAGATCAGACGGGAAGTTAAACAAATTAACTCTATTTTACAAAATCATGAATGAGGATGATTAGATTTGATACCTACTACCGTGGCTTAAACAAACAATTACAATCTACGAAGTAGTAAAAATATATAATAAACTCCCAGCAGATTGTCCCTTTATCAAGAATCTTTTATTCCATCTAACATTAAACTGTGGAATTCTCTCGATATAAGTATTAGAAATGAACTCTTTTTAAGTTATATGAAACGAGTCTCTTGTAATTATAATGTTATCGAAATTATTGAACCAATGCATGCATATATACTAAACTTAGTTTTGTATGCACGTTTTTTTTCATTTATTACGAATCTATAACGTATTATCGACAAATAATATTTCACTCAGTAATTGTTGATTGCAAGCTAATTTACTTTCGAGTTTGTTGCCGAAGTTTACCAGATCAATCAACACAGATTATTGGAGCACGTGAAAAATACGTAAATTGATAGAGCCATTATTTTTGTTTTCATATTTTTCATGCGTTACTATTTGGTAATTAAACTTTTCCTTAACTTGTGTATTTAATTTGTTCTTTATGAAACAGTCATTACTATTTACCTTCCAGACTGTTCAATTCATTCAAAGACATGGATCGTCCACATAATTTTATATAGAATATTCTACTTGTTGACAATAACGATGTGTTTGCTTTAAAATTAAAAACTTACCTTTACAGTGAATGTTTATTCCTAGATTAAAACTTCTAATAGGTTTTTATTAAATGAATTTACGGTCAACTCGACTTTTAAAAATCGATTCAAATCTTGTTTATTTCATGTCTCAATAATAATATTGCGTATGACTTATTCAGCTGTATTTTATTTTGTTCATCTATCTATTATTTGTATGTAACGGAGAAGACTTTCTACGTCAAAAAACTTGTGTTTGATCCTTTTGTCACTGTTTTTGGACAATGAAATATGTTTAAACTAGTAACTTCCGCCTTTATTTTTCAGAAATATTTAAATATATATGAGTCTGTGTCTATTATTGTCTAAGATTTAAAAAAGTGCAATGTTATTAATTTCAATATAAAGAGTAATATCAAGTTTTTGTGTTCTCTGAATATCAACAATGAAGAAAAATATTGTGCATTATATAACTATGCGAACAAGATATTCGTCATAAAAAAAACCCAAAAATATTTTCATTGTATTCATATGATACAGGTTTCTAAAGATTCCATTTCGTGTGGGATTATATAAATAAGACTTTAAAGACTATTCGCATTAAGAAACTATAGAAATATGCATTTGTATCATTCTTGATATTGGGATGTTGAATGACGGGAAGTTGATCGAACTATTGTTTCGTTTGTGATAACATTGATAACGTTTTCACAGAGAGTACAATCAGGGCGAAAAATCTAAGAAAGAAAAGTTGAAAAAAAACACTGAACGATTACAAATTTGTTGAAGCATTGTCAATGAGCAGTCATCAAGAAAGAGGAAGTATTTAAACACGGCGTTCATAGTATATAGACATACAGCTCCATGTTTACTTGAAGGACGTAATAATATATAAAGTTAAGCATGATAAATATTACTGATTATGGCGAAGTCCTCCGGAACAGAGATTTGGAAATTTATCTTAGCAATACAGTTTTAATCGTTATAGGCACGGTTATAGGATTTTTTGGAAACTTTACCGTAATATTTTTCTACTTGGTTCGAATTAAGGAGCGAGGTGAGCGTTATTTTATTCCTCTGTTGGCCATAGTTGATTTGTTTGCATGCTTAGCAAGTTCCCCGTTCATTATAATGCACAACACATTCTTTTATAATTATCCAAGTGACATAGTTTGTAGGATTCTGACATTTTTACAAGTGTTCATTTCCGGATTGTCTGGGCATATTCTATTGGTAATTTGTTTTCAAAGATACCTTTTAGTATGCAAACCTTATGGGCCAAAAATGACACTATTTTGGAAAAAGATGTCGTTTGCACTTGCTTGTGTGTTTTCATTTGTTTATTCTATACCGCTTATAGGATTATCAGGAAATAAAACCACACATGAACATTTTCTGAATCATACAGTGGAAACAACGATTTGTAAATTTTATGCCGTAGATTCTTCAACAAAAATATCAGCTTACTTCGGTTTTCTTGGTTTAATCATGGTGGCTAATATTACAATTACTGCAGCGCTCTATATTCCAGTTCTAAGTAGAATACAAGTCGTTTTGTCTGGAAAGATTGTGAAAGATGACCGCCACCGGAAAATATCATCTAATACTGAATCGTTATCTCGGTCAACAAGTTCCATCGAATCCAATACAAAAACTTTATCAAACTCAACAACAAAAAGCGGAATTCAGGCGACGGATCATGATTCTAAGCCCGATGAGAAGGCATGTTTTAACAATTACCCTAATAAAGAGCCCTCTCCGGATGGTGGTGCATATGATACATCTTTCAATAATACCACCAAATCTAAAGAAATAGTGGCTGCGAACAACGAACTTCAACCGGAGGGCATTTCAAAAACTAGAAACGACTTCGCAAAAAGAAGAATAACAGTAATGTTTTTTGTCATAATTCTCGCCTATATTTTATCATATCTACCCTCTGTGATTCTTTTAATACTTGCCTATGCAATAAGAGATTTTAATTTCATATCATTTACAGAGAGCGAAACAATTGCCTGGACATATCTTTCACGCCTCGTTTTTCTTAACCACATAGTGAATCCCTTTATATATAGTTATTTCGATGTAAAGTTTAGAACTGAATTGAAGACAAGTTTCATGTGCAAACGTTAAGTGATCAGTAACAGTTAAAACTTAATTTTAAGAATTCAATCTATTAAAGAGAGGTGGAAGATACCAAAGGGTCATTCAAATTCATAAGTGAGAGACAAACTGCCAACGCCTTGGCAAAAAACGAAAAACGACGAAAAGACAAGCACTAGTCTACAAAATACGACAAACTAAAGACTGAGCAAAACGGACCCAACCAAAATAACCAGGAGTGATATCATGTGTTCCGGAAGGGTAGGAATAACGTGCCCCACATGTTGCACCGGTCGTGTTTCTAATGTAAGTACAACTTGGATAAGTCTCCTTCAGTCATATTACATTCGAGGAAAAAATGACGAAATTGTGCTTACGATAACTTAATCTTATCTGTCGTTCAAGCAAATCGTAATGGCGTTTGTAAAATTTTTCGAAGGAATAAAATCAACTTCACTACTTTAAAAGACTCTAAGAAGTTTATTATAATAAAAATAGTAAACGCATTATTGATAGTTGAAAAGCATGGGTTTAATTACAACCTCGAATGCACTTAAAAGATACGTTTCCTCAACTAATAGTTATCAAAGGTAACAGGATTATAATCTAATACGCCAGACGCGCGTTTCGTCTACCTAAGACTCATCAGTGACGCTCAGATCAAAATAGGTATAAAGCCAAACAAGTACAAAGTTGAAGAGCATTGTTGAAAAAATATAACAGTTTTATATTTTTTGCAATTGTTATGTGTTATACATGTAATAATACAATTTAGATAAAGTATTTATAAAAAAGAGGATGTGGTATGATTGCCAATGAGACAACTGTTCACATGAGACCAACTGACACAGAAATTAACAACTATAGGTCACGGTACGGCCTTCAACAATGAGCAAAGCCCATACCGCATAGTCAGCTATAAAAAGCCCCGAAATGACAAATGTAAAACAATTCAAACGAGAAAACTAACAGCCTAATTTATGAACAAAAAAATGAACGAAAAATAAATATGTATCACATTAACAAACGACAAGCACTGAAATACAGGCTATTGATTTGGACAGGCACATACATACAGAAAGTGGCGGGGTTAAACTAGTTTGAAGGCGCCAACCCTCCCCTAACCTGGGACAGTGATGTAACGGTACAACATATGTACGAACTATAAAAATCAGTTGAAAAAGGCTTACCTCATCAGATGGATACAAATAGAAATACATCTAACAAAAACACGGAGTGGACGTGGCTGGGTACTTGTACATCCCAACAACAAAAAGACACTAAGTACAGATCTGAGAGTACTCGCAGTTACTGACAGCTAGTTCAAAGCCAATAACAACTAATAAAACAATCATGCATCTAAGACTAAATTATCAATCATTACACATCCAACATCCAATGGATTTAGTGTAAAGACGTCATAAACAGTCAGAGAAAAACATGACATTGTGCAATGCCAAGATACAGGTACCGACATATTGTAGATCCATGAATGTGCATAGGTATATAATAATATTATTAAGTTAGCTTTTAATTTACTGATATCAAAATCAATATTAATACCAATAAAAACAATATTCAAAGATTTAATTACAGTGTTGAATTGGTAACCTTTTAGAATAAGTTTATTTAAAGGATCGATAAGTTTACCAGAATCGTTTCTAAATTGATTTGTCGTTTTTTTTATGCTTTTCCTGGCTACATGAAATTGAAAGTCAATATATTTTGTACGGTGAAAATAATTATTAAAAAATTGTCAGATAACTACATATTGATTAGGGGTAATGGAAAAAGAAGAATGAGATCGAATCGTGTAATTAAAATTGGTTCAGAATTTGTTTGATCCAGCTATAAACAAAGAAGTTATTATCAATCTTACAGGAACATACAAATTGGTTATATTTCCAGAGCTGTTTATTGTTTTTTGTGTGTTTTTTTCAATCAAGACTTACATTTTGAATTAAATAAATTATGTTTGGGTCTGCAACAGGTTATATATTCCTGTAAGATTTATGGCGTTACTGTCTCCAGATTACTCCGAACTTCAGAAACCAATTTAAGAGTGCAGATAAGATTAAATGTAAAAAATATTTTCCTTAATTTGTGTGTGCATGTGTAAAAAGAGTGACCAAAACTTTACAATGTTTGTTTAAGCTGTTGGATTTTTAAATATGTTGGCCTCTAAGATTACTGAAGATACGCCATTGTCCCAAATCCTCGTTTGGTACATTACAATTTGTACCGGTTGTGTATAAAACTTATGATTTTTATGTTGAGATCGATGTCTTTTTAGTTATTAGTTTCGTTGAATTGCTGTCCAAACAGCCTATAAGACCTTTTCTTTCTTTTTTGTTATTATTATTTTGTATAAAATTATGTTTCGTTCTACAGATTGGTTACAAAAAGTTTAATTTCATTTCAAATAAGCGATTTGAGCAATTTCGAAGTTTTTCCCCCATATATATGCTAAGTGTAATATTCTTGTTTCCATTTAAAATTTATATATTATATGGTTGTAAAGATTTAGATAACATTGTAGTAAACTACATTGTATAGATCAAATGAAGAGATGAATTTTAATCTTATAGAACTATTATGTTAATCAGGAAGTCGTAGATGTTCAATTTCAAATACCCGCACCACTGCTCGCAGTATATATTATTACGTTGTATGCATACACTATACGTTGGATTCAATTTTTTTCATTTATATTTTGCTGATATCGTTAGATTTATCTGTTTCTTCCAAAAAGATAGCATTGACTATGATAAATAAAAATCCTAAAAGACACACTAATAAAGTGTTTGTAGTTAATAGTACAGACAGAATAGTAAAACGTAAGTTCGAATACACTTTCTCGATAAAGTAATATTTAAGTAATATATAAATACAAAAGTAACAATATGAAAACAACACTATAAAAACCTTAGGCATCCAAATCGTATCTCTAGACCTAACCGCATCAGGGACGGCGGGCCAAAGTAAAAAAAAAAACGATAGAGGGATGCACAAATACCAAGTCAAGTCAGGAGTAAAACCACCAAAATGAACATAATAGTACAAATCCAAATTTTGAAAGGAAAACTGTTAAGTAAATAAATTGATATACAATATAATTTATAACTCAAGACCATCCTGTTCTATTTGTGAAGTAGACACTGAATATTTATCAAATAGGTTTTGGAACTTGTCGATGAACGTTTTAAGAAAAACACGAGACAATTGTCGAATTCTGACAGTCTTGCAAATATGTTTTCCATTCTATTTTGTATTGCTCCTTTGGTATTTTCTCTCTCTTTTGTCCTGGAATTAAGGTACATACTCTTGTAATTATATAAGTTCAACGTTGCCTTTCAGCCTTCAAACCTTTTGTGTCATAGATTTTATCATCTTGGAAACGAATGTCTTTTACTTTCGTCTGTCAGGTATCTTAACTATATGTGCGCACTTTGGTTTGTAACATTAAGAATAAAGCCAACTGATGAACATTTTATGAATCCCAATGTTCGTTTTTCCATATTTAAAATTTCAACAATAGAAATATAGGCAAAAATACTTTTCTTCTTCGGTTTTCTTACATTATTCTAGCGACATATTGTCGAAGACGTTGATGATTAGATCCCAGAATAGACGTTTTATCTGTAATTTTGTCGATTTTCTATTCCCGATATAAACAGTTTGGCTAATGGTTGATTCGCATGCCGGGTGATGCATGAAAAGCACGAGGCTCTTACATATATATAAAGACGCAAAGGCATTTCCTATAAAATCAAATACACAATAAATATCTTGTCCAGCTACCAACAGGATGATTATTAACTTGCATATTTAAGCCCTGCTGATTTCATTTATTGTCGAAATGCGTACTGGTGCAGTAAAATTGGTACCGTTTATAGTATTACTTTTCATATAATCTATATGCTAAACTAGGTAATCGAAAACCTCATCTAAGATACCTGGCATATAATTTGGTACATTGACATACTAGTAATACTCAAAATTGGAATGGGGTTTCTTTTGTATCTTTACTTTTATACATTCCTGCCTAATACTGGGAATAGCAGGAATAAAAATGAATGAGTACACCTTTCTTACCAAAAAAGCATTAAATCATTTTTAAATTTTCCACTATGGAACACCGTAAAATAATAACTTACTTTGCAGCTTTTAGCTTTAGTTAACAGCGCTGTACATTTCTATGCTACTGTAAATAGCGATTTCTTTTTCTTATTTTCTTAAACAGAGAAAAGTATTTTCCGACGATAGAATGGAGACGTTAATTTAATACGTGATCTGACGTTAGCTTTGCGATTATAGCGGACTTTCGACATAGAGTTGAAAAGAACAAAAATCAGTACCGAAAATATAAAAATACTTCATTTCAAAACGAAGGTGTAAATGTAGTATCAAGTGAGATATCATCAAATCACTAATTAGACAAAGATGATTAAAAAAAAGGCAGAAGATCCGCAAAAAGTAAAATAACAAAAATACCGAACTCCAAAGAAAATTCAAAACGGAAAGTCCCTTCTCAAATAGCATAATCAAAGGATCAAACACATCAAACGAATGGAAAATAACTGTCACATTCCTGACTTGGTATAGGCATTTCCTTATGTAGAAAATGGTGGATTAAACCTGGTTTTATAGCTAGCTAAACCTTTCACTTGTATGACAGTCGCATAGAACTCCATTATATTGACAAAAATGTGTGAACAAAACCAACAGACATAATAGGTAAAAATGTCAAAAATAGGGGTACAGCAGTCAACATTGTGTTATAATCTTAATCACACTAAGAAAAACAAATATGTCAACAAAGAAAAACAAAATGGCATATAGACATAACACATAAGCAAAAATGAAATACAAGAATACAAAAAATGACCATAGCACAATAACACAATGGCAAGATGTATAAGTACCGAGCCACGCCAAAAGGTTATTACTAAAAATGGACTAAACAGTAAAGGTTAATTATTTACAAAGACAAATAAAGGAACACTATAACACGTAATTAAGATGATTAACAACGTCAGTTCCTAGAATCTATATTTCAAGACCATCATGTATTATTTGTGAAGTTGAGACATAACCCTGGTTCATCAACTTTCTGCTCAGAAACTGGTGACGTTTGATAAGTCTGAGTAGCAGCTGCAAGCTCTTAAATATCGAATGAGTTGGGAAATGTATATCCAATATGCAGGTGAAGTTGGTATATTGCTACTATGGTGGGGAAATTGATAATTTTAAAATTGAAATCGTCTCATTTGTAATACATTCTGGTACTGAGATGACCGCTTATGTCAATTTCGAGGTAAAAGTCTAAAAATGAGGCGGAAGAAGCCGTTTCTGTTGTTTCTTAAATTTCTAGTTCTGGAGGATATATTAATGGAACCCAATCAGAAAAGTTTGGATTGTTAATGGAAAGAACATCATCAATATATCTGAATGTGAAATTAAATGTTCTGGCTTCTTTGATCTTCATGTTTTGACAAGTTTCTGACGGCACTCCGACTCATATGAAAATAAGAAGACAAGGAAAGGCGCACAGTTCGTGCCAATAGTAATGCCGACATTTTGTTGTTAAAGTCTACCTCCAAATTCAACATATATGTTGTCAATACGAAACCCCAACGTACTGATCACTTGTTCCTCTGTCTAGAATGCTTTACATTTTTGCTCACTATTAACAAAATATGCCGTATGGTATCCCAAAGTAATAAATTTATAGCGTATTCTTC